CCACCCCCACCGGCCTCCTTTGTCTGCATTTCTCTCTCATACACACACACACACGCTTGGATTCATTCACGGGGAAAGGGCGGGAGGGAGGCAGACAGACGGTGCCCGGGTGTGGGGGGTGTGTGGGGGGTATGAAATGTTGCGAGGGGGCGGTTGTGGGGATGTGTGTGAGGGCAAGTGAAGGGGCGGCGGCAGAAGAAGAAAGCAGTCAGGCAAGAAAAAGAAGGAACCTCCCCTCCCCCAGGCAGGGAGTGAGGATGATGGAGACTCGGGGATGCTTGAGAAGATGGGGAAGGAAGAAGGGGAACAGCTCATGAGGAGTTGGGGTTATGAAGAGGGAGGAATGGGATCGGGAGAGAGAAGGTTGCGGGGCGGTCTTGAGGGCAGTCGCGGATTTTCAGATTAAACCCTGCAGGCAGGATGGGTCTTAAGGTTCTCTTTTTTTTTTGAAGGATGGTAAAGGGGGGAAAGTGAGTGCGCTACGTGGGAAATATCAGATTTCCCTCAGTGGGAGTCGGCTGCTGTGAGGCTTCTCTGTTCATGAAACCTTTTTAAGGTCACATCCAGGGGGGTGGGACCAACCCAGCCCCACATGTTTGTATGCCTTTGCTGGGTTGCTCATCTCTGAATGAGGTAAATGAAACAAATGGAGTTAACAAAACCAATTGACTTGGTGGGGTAAATAAATAATAATGGTATACCATCAAATCAGTTGTAACTTATGGTGACCCTTTTTGGGTTTTCCTAGGTAAGGAGCATTCAGAAGTGGTTTACCATTCCCTTTTTCCGGGCTGCATCCTGGCATGGTGAAGCTTGCTCAAGGCCGGGAAGGCTACCTTTTCTGGGATGCCCAGTGGAGAACTGAACTGCTGGCCTTTGGCTCTGCAGCCAGATAACCTAACTCACTCCAGCCAGCTGGGATAAACAAAACAAAAATGCAAAAATGTCAATGTGATTTCTCAGAACATAAAGAAATTTGTAGTCAGATACTAATGTGTTAAAACTAGTCCAAAAGTATTAATGTCCCCAGTCTGGCATTTAAGAAGCATCTCAAAGTCAGCAATTTGATTACTGTGTAGGAGAATGAAGTCTTTTAGCGGTGGGGTTATGATAAGATAATTGGAGAAGCATGCATAAGCTTGACTTAGTCAAGAAAGCATCATTTTAAAGGTCATGGTAGAATGTGAAAGTGGTTGCTGAGGAGTCTAAGGTCCAAAGTATTGGAATATATATAGTTTGAAGCCTAGCATCTTCAGTTATGTACCGTGTTACAGTGAAGAGGCCAGAGTACTGGAATAATAATTCTTAGTTATACATTATACAGCCTTTCATTGTGTTTTGTTCCAATTGAATCTTTCATGGACAGTCTTCATTGTATATTGTACTGATATACATAGTTTTATTTACATATAAATGTCTGGTAACAAACAGAAAGAAGAATACTGTATATATATTTCCCCCCCTGGTGAATATATAAGATTTGCTACAAAGTTAATGTTAAATGCATCATAATAAATTTGTTTCGGTTTTCAGTGTAGAGATGGGCAAAAACTGCTAATTCGGCAGTTCAGTGTGGTTTGTTTCCCAGGTGAACAGCTGATCCACAGTTTAGCACTGCCTCCAAGTGGGTACCTTGAGGGGGCAGGGCACTGAACTGTGGATCAGCTGTTCGGCCAAGAAATAAACACTGCTGAACCATCAAATGAGTGGTTTGTGCCCATCTCTATTTCAGTGCATTATCCTTGATGATGACACAAGAATGTTGCAGCAAAACAGAAACAAAAATACTGTGCCTCTGCCTGGAGTATATTTATTTATTTATATAATGTGTGTCCTATTCCTGTAAAATTACAAGACCAATCAATCACTCCTCCTTTAGTTCCTGTTACTGTCTCCTTTCATATGTACCTGAGCCAGTTACTGTGAGTTACCACTGCAACTGCAGAATTTCACCTGTTGAAAGATGGCTGTCTGTAAACAATCTGCTTACTAAGATATGGCTCCCAAGCCTTAAAAGGTAAAGGTAAAGGTTCCCCTTGACAATTTTTTTGTCCAGTCGTGTCCGACTCTAGGGGGCGGCGCTCATCCCGCTCTTCAAGCCATAGAGCCAGCGTTTTGTCCGAAGACAATTTTTCCGTGGTCACATGGCCAGTGTGATTTAGACACGGAACACTGTTTACCTTCCCACCGAGGTGGTCCCTATTTATCTACTCGCATTTGCATGCTTTCGAACCGCTAGGTTGGCGGGAGCTGGGACAAGCGACGGGTGCTCATTCCGTTGCGTGGATTCGATCTTACGACTGCCGGATCTTCTGACCCTGCAGCACAGGCTTCTGCGGTTTAGCCCACAGCGCCACCACGTCCCAAGACTTGCATACGTGATAAATAGTTGTCACTGCTGTCTAATGATTGCACTTGGTGAAAGAAAATATGAATCCTGGTCATAGTTTATTTAATTAAACACTATAGAAAATAATAAAAGAATAGATGTAAATTCACTTGAGTGATTTATTGTTAAACATAAAAATCAGGCTGTCAGGACAGAAATCTTCTGTTCCCCAATCTGATCGTCTCTGGATGTTTTTGACCATCAATTCCACATGACCAATACTCGGGAATTATGGGAATTTAAAAATGTGTGGAAGGCATAAGTCTGAAGAACAGATCTGAATGGAGCTGTGCCTATTGATAAGTACAAGTACAGGGTTTTAGAATAAGGGGTTTCTTTCATGTTCTGTCTTCTCATTTCCAATCACAAATTGCTTTTTCTCTTCTTAGATACTTTTGACTTACATGGGCTAGCAACATTTTCAAGGACTAAAGTTAAACTCCATTAACTGGCAGAAGTGAAGAACAAAGATCATGAGTTTCTTTAATTTAGACCGCTTTCGCTTTGAAAAGAAGGCAAAACTTGAAGAAAAAAACCCTTGCCTTTCTGCAAGTCAGGATGATGCCACTGCTACTACATCTTCTTCTTTGGATACTGTAGAAAAGAACACTTCACTTTCTTCTTCTTCAGAAGACAATGTCACTACTGTTGGTAGAGAAGATGACAAAGCTACTGACTGTAGTAGCAGACCAGCCACTCCAGCATCTGATGTATCAGAGAAAACTGGTAAGTTCTCTTCTGTCTGATAATCTAGCATTCATCATCATAAGACTTTTGTGCATAGTATCTTCCATGAAGTTCTGTGGTTTAGATTAAAAATGGAAAAACCTTAAATTGCAATATTTTATTCATTAGATGCAGTTTAAACGTCACAGGGTCATAAAGCAGGTTATACTTAGCTGAAATAAATTGTGATCTTAAATAGTTAGACAGCCATCTGATCTACTTTAATTTGGATTCCTGCATGGAACAGGGGTTGGGCCCAATGGCCCCAGAGATTCCTTCTAACTCTATTTTTCTATGATTTACAATCTTGCTTAATAACTTTTACAGACCTTTCCTTGTGATTGTATAAACATACAGTCATGGCCAAAAATATTGGCACTCTTGCAATTCTGACAGAAAATGCAACTCTTCTTTCAGAAAATTGTTGCATTTCCAAATGTTTTGGTGCTCACATGTTCATTTCTTTGGTTTGCATTGGAACAACACACAAAAAAGAAGAGAAGTCAAATCTGATACAATCCCACACAGAAACCCAAAAATGCACTGGCCAAAATTACTGGCACCCTTAACTTAATATTTGGTAGCACCCACTTTGGAAAAAAATAACTGAAATCAGTTGCTTCCTGTAACCATGAATGAGTTTCTTACACCTCTTTACTGGAATTTTATACTACTCTTCTTTTGCAAACTGCTCCAGAGCCTTCTGATTTGAAGGATGCCTTCTCCCAACTGCTGTTTTGAGATCTCTCCACAGGTGTTCTGTGGGATTCAGATCTGGACTCATTGCTGGCCATTTCAGGACTCTCCAGAACTTTGTTTGTAACCATTTCTGAGTGTTTTTTGAAGTGTGTTTTGGGTCATTGTCCTGCTGGAAGACTCATGACCTCTGGTGGAGACACAGCTTTCTGACACCGGCCACTACATTGTGCCCCAAAATTCTTTGGTAATCATCAGATTTCATGACTTCATACAGTCAAGGCATCCAGTGCCAAACGCAGCAAAGCAATCCTAAAACATCCATGTTTGACTGTAGGGACTGTGTTCTTTTCTTTGAATGCCTCATTTCTTTTTCTGTAAACAGTGCCATGATGTCCTTTACCAAAAAGCTCTACTTTTGTCTCATCTGTCCACAGTACGTTCTCCCAGAAGGATTGTGGTTTTGTCACATAAATTTTGGGGTTTCTATGTGGGATTGTGTCAGATTTGACCTTTCTTCTCTGTTTTTTGTGTGTGTTGTTTGAACACAAACAAAAGAAATGAACATGTGAGTACCTTCTCTGGTTTTGTGTGTGTGTTGTTCAAACACAAACCAAAGAAATGAACATGTGAGTACCAAAACATTTGCAACTGCAACATGCCAATATTTTTGGGCATGTAAACACATAAAAATAAATAACATAGAGGGAAGTCTGGATAATGAAAAAAAAATCCTTCTCATTTTAGGCAAAGATACAGATAACATTAAAAAGTTATGATATATCTATAGATTCCGATTAAGAGGCACAGTGTCTGAATATCAGTTGCAGGGGAGCAACAACAAATATAGATGGCTGTTTCCTGCATATGCTGCTTTTGGATTTGATATGTACATCTGAATTTCCTACCTTCGTAGCAACTGGTTGTTTAGAAAAGAAGATGCTTTACTAGCTTGGTGTTTGATCTAGTTCAGCAGTACAGCATGATGCTAGGGCAGATCACAATGTACTCTGCATTATGAAGCCAATAAAACTGTACAGCAGTGAGTGAGCATTAGAGATGAGATATTTGTATTTGTCTCCCAGGGAAGATGAATACAATTATCACCACCACAGGTGGCTGGGCCAGTTGGACTCTCCTCCCAGAAGTGAACCATCCATTTACTGCCTGTGGCGCACACAACCATTGTTGTTCATGCTGCTCCAATTGCAAAAGTAGCCTGGCTGGGGCTTCCCCACCTCCCTGCAGTGCTGACCACTCAGCAGTTGAGTGGGGAGACTTGTTATCCCGCCTCCTCTCTGGATTAGTCAGCACCACAGGTAGGCAGGGAAGGCAGTTGAGTGGGGAGACTTGTTATCCCACCTCCTCTCTAGATTAGTCAGCACCACAGGTAGGCAGGGAAGCCCCAGTTTTGCTACTTCTGTGATTGGCATGATGTGAATGCACGTACTGCAAATAGAAAGTGGCCGGACAGGGAGAAGGTTCAATCAGCCTGGCCACATGTGGTGGCAATACAGTGGACCCTTGGCTTACGGAATTAATCCGTATTGGAACTGTGGCCGCAGGTCGAAAATTCCGTAGGTCAAGGATCCATTTCCCATAGGAATGCATTGAAAACCATTTAATCTGTTCCAGCCAAAGGAAAAAAATCCCAGGCTTCCAAAGCTGTACCTGCTGCCCTCTGCCACCCATCCCCACGGGGACAGGGAAAGCCACTCTGTGCCCGCTGTCAGCTTTCGGCTTTTGGGGCATAGAAAGCTGCACCCATTGGCCTCTTGTCTCCTGTCCCCGGTGCCCTCTGCCTCAGACAAGAGGCCAGTGGGTGCAGCTTTCTAAGCCCTGAAAGCTGATAGCGGGCACAGAGCGGCTTTTGTCTTCTCGGCTTCCAAAGCTGCAAGTCGAAAGCCTCTCCACACCCGCTGCCAGCTTCCACTGGACAGGAGGCAGAGGGCACCAGGGACAGGCAGAGCGGCTTTCGTCTTCCCGGCTTCCAAAGCTGCAAGTCGAAAGCCGCTCCACACCCGCTGCCAGCTTCCGCTGGACAGGAGGCAGAGGGCACCAAGGACAGGAGACAAGAGGGCATTTTCCTGCCCTTTACCCTGCCTTTTGTAGGTTGAAGCTCCGGCCACAAGTCAGACTAAAATTTTGCGGCCAGAGCTTTTTGTACCTCAAAATTTCCATAAGTAGGGACATTCCTAAGTCGAGGTTCCACTGTATTCCTATCTGTCTCCCCGGGGAGACTAATACAAATGTCCCATGTCCAGTAAGTAAGGACATTCCTAAGTCGAGGGTCCACTGTATTCCTATCTGTCTCCCCTGGGGAGACTAATACAAATGTCCCATGTCCATTCAGTAGTGAAAATTCTGTATCCATTAGTAACTATCTCACTCTGATGTATAAGCATAGAATATCTATTCACCTCAAGAGTGATTTCATCTGAGGAAGGATTGATTTCATCTGGAACCAAACACTCACCAAAGTTAAAGCCAATTTAACTTCTGGATGAAGAATTCTACCTATGTCATGGTCTGCAGGGGGGATCCTGTTACAAGTTCCACCAGGCTGGACTTTATCAGATGATAATGTTGATGAAAGGGCCTCTTGGCACATCACACTAAGATAGCTACAAGGAGATAAATTTCCCATGTAGATAAGTCCTAAGGTGTTAAGAGCTGTATGAATCAAATCTTGATGTTCAGTTGGGCTCCGTAACAAAAATGTACAGTTATGTATCTTACAATGCTTGTATTCTTTTCTGTGGAGATAGACCCTCTAGTGTTTATTGAGGTTTTGGATTCTAAAAATATGAATGTTCCTCATTAGCTTTGGAGATAATCTTCCACCTTATTAGAGTAGCTGCTGTAATAAGAATGCTTCAGTTGTGTCTGAGAGTCATTTCATGCAATACACTGGAACAAACAAAGGTTTGCCATTAATTGTGATTCAGGGAAGAGAGGCGCTTAATAAGACAAGATATATCTCAGTGTAATTAGGAGAAATATGGACAAGGTTTCTGCCTGTGCGTTTGGATCCTCTCCCTCCCCATAGCTAAGAGGCTGGGAGTTTGATTTCTGACTTTTCTTCCTGAGAGAAGAGTCAGCCTGTGTAGCCATGAGAAAGCTTTGCAGGCCCAGGATGCCCCCCAGAAGAAGGGAATAGTAAACCACCTCTGAATATTCTGTATCTGGAAAACCCTGGAAAGGTTTGCCATAAGTCAGAAGCAACTTGACACTACACAAGTATTAATTAGCTGGTCAAATTTCCCTGATAAAATGGATACCTGTTAAAAGTTGGCTTGCTGAATGTTGAACAAACAAATTAAAGGCTGTTGGATATTACGGATCAGAATTTTTCACTCAAGTGTCACACTATGTTGCTAAGATCCCTAAGATCACTAAGATTCTGTACAACATACTGTTACATACAATAGCTTAGGAACTGGAAAGAGACTGGAATAATGCAGTATTGATCACTTGGGTTCTCTCATTCCATTCCCCATCCTCGTTGCCCTGTTTCAATGTGATTACTAGTCTGAGCTCTGTCTTATTGGTCCTTAAATGTAGGTCAGACAAGTCACTGAATAGAAGAGGAGTGTAGGGAAACATGTAGTCCCATGGCTTGGGACCAAACAAATATTTGCTTGAGTGGCATTTTTTTCATTCAAAATCTACTGCACTCCAAGTAGTAAATTCTTCCTTGATTTTCACTGCACTGCTTCAGTAAATCTCTCCAATTGTATGCCTCTTTTACCACTTAGCAATAAACTCACTACAACTTAGGGGGCATGTCACATCTCCCAGTTTCAGAGTTCATGCTATGTAGTATTCTTCAATGCCAGTAATTGGCCTGAGGTTAAAAAAAGCTCAAGATTTATTAAAATTTCCATCAAGTGTCTCTCAACTGTTTCAGATTTTAAATTTATTTCCCATAAACTTTTGTCAGACACAAATCACAGTCTGCAGCTGCTGGTCTCTTTTGTGTGTTGCCTTCTTCCCTCTTTAGTCTTGCATGCCTCTAGGGTCAGAAGATTTCTAGCTCTGAAAGGAATTATAGATTGGTGGTTGCTTTTATTTAGATGAAACACAATAGGAGACCATCATCTTTTTATTTCTTTCCCTATCCTTCCCAATGCCTCTCATAGAAACTTCTTTGATGCCATAAAACTTACTCAGATACTCATACTCTGTTTCTTAGTCTATATATGCCAGATGTAGCTTCCATTTGTTCTCTGCAACACTGGTAAAAGCTAGAGACTATTTCTTGAAAAGTAAGGTGAGGTTGTCAGAATGCCACAGATTTTTATATTCCTGTATCACTTTTTAACATGCATTTTGTAAGCAGTTTCCATATGCTAAATGCTTGAAATTACAGAATGTTAAATAAACCACATTATAAAATATTCAAAAGCAACTATTAAAGTATACCTCTAGCATGACCACTTTGTATGAAACTAGTTATAGCAAGATATTTGAACTCTATTGCTGTATAATATATATTCTTTCTCCTTCAAAATGCTTTCAAAGATGACTCCAGTGTTCCTGAAACCCCTGAAGCTAAGAGGACAACACAGTTATCTTATTTTAAGTATCGAAGAGATGTTATTGAATTATCATCAGAAAGTGAAGACGAAGAGCCATCAAAATACTCCCATGCAAAACAACACCCTGCTCCCAGGAAGGATGTGATTGTAATGTAAGTTTCTGTAACTTACATCTATAATGCTTCCTAGTTTGTAAATCTGTCTATCAAATGGAATTCCCTAGTTTTATCTGTGGGGTCATGTGAAGCCTTGTATTTCATTACAGACAATACAGAACTTTAAGTATAAAAACTAGTAAGCCCTATACACACTTACCTGGTAATAAACATTGAACTCAATGAGAAGTCTGTGTAAACTTATATAAGATTTGCATGGTAATGTTTTTGAGTCTGTACTTTCATGAGACCCACTGAAAAAAGTTTGGGATTTGGTCACCTAATCTAATTGGCAGTGCAGGTACTGGTTATGGAGACATATCTCTCTCTGAACATTTGCATCCTGTATGCAATATTATGCCTGTTTTTATGTTAAAAAGGTTTGTTTTTTAAAGCATCTGTGTATAAATACAATTCTTCAAAATCTTTGTAAAATTCAGTCCTGTCTTTGCCTTCTTAGCATTCCTGTTTTTTAGACTCTGAATGGGATGTCACTGTATTTCCTGGAATGGCAAATAACAAGAACCATTTCTAAATTCTTGGTGAATAGCAGGTCTTGGTCCTTCTGGCTTATCACCAGGATGCTTGCATATCAGTCTTTTTAATGTACAGTGGTGCCTCGCTTAACGGGCGCCCCGTTTAACGATGAATCCGCATAGCGATGGCTTATTTGCGATCGCTTTGCGAGTTTTCCCCATAGCCCCATTTTCCCTCCAGCTAACTGGAGGGAGCCTCCGAAGGACCGCGGGGGAGCCCTCCCCCGCGGTCCTTTGGAAGTTTCCGCCGCTCAGCTGGGGGAAAATGTCGGCGGTGGCCTCGGAAGGACCCTTCCGAAGGGCCCTTCCGAAGCCACCGCCGGCATTCCCGTTCGGAGGGGGCATTTTCGGCCAGCTGAGCGGGAGCCCTGCCACTCAGCTGGGGGAAAATGTTGGCGGCGGCTCGGAAGGACCCCGAAGCTCTCAAAGGCCCCCCCGACATTGGAGAAAGCCTCTTGAGAGCTTGGAAGGTTTTCGGCGGCGGCGGCAGCAGGGTAGGGGGTGTCCGGATGCCCTCCAGGCAAAGCAAGGGGCTTTCTCCACCACCAACATTTTCCCCCAGCTGAGCAGCAGGGCTCCCACTGAGCTAGGCGAAAATGCCCCCGTCGAAGGGGAATGCCGGCGGTGGCCTCGAAAGGACCCTTCGGAAGTGTCCTTCCGAAGCCACCACCGGCACCATCCCCCAGCTGAGCGGCGGGGGCTTCGAAGCTCCCGCCCCTCTGCTGGAGGAAAATGAGGCCCCATTTTCAGCCAGCTGTTCGGCGGTTCCAAAATGGCCTCCAGCTATGTTGCCTCGCATTAGAGGCACCGAAAATGGCCACCCCTATGGAAGATTTCTGCTTAGCGGTGAGTTTTCCCCCCATAGCAATGCATTAAACAGGGTTTAATGCGTTCCTATGGGGTTTTTTTGCCCCAGATAGCGACGAACCCGGATAGCGACGATTTATCCGGAACGGATTATCGTCGCTATGCGGGGAACCACTGTAGTTTTTTTTTAATCAGATTTTCCTCTAAAACTTCAGTTATCCTTTCTTTTAAGGAATTATTTGATTAATATCAAAACAGAAACTATCTTTCACCGTACAAGTTTGAGTTAGAAGGCTTTTCCATGTAAGAAACTAATCAAATGGTTGTTTTCTGGAATTTGAATGTTTACACTGGGGCCACTTCAGGAGGTCTTAGGGTCATTTTTATCCTCTCCAGGCCTCAGTAGTTAACAATTAACAAATATTTTAACACCTTTTCTTAAAAAGCTTTCCTCTGATCAGATGATTCAGGGCATCAGGATGAGGAGCTTTTAGCCTTAATGTTGTTGGTAAACCACCACTTCCATTATTCCTCACCCTTGCCCAGGCTAGCATGAACTAATGATATTAGGAGTTGAGCAATATCTGGAAGACAACCCAGCCTTACAAGATATTATGGCTGCTGCTCTGTTGGATTTGACATGGGTGAAAAAGGTAGTAAGGCATATGATAGGAACCCCTAAAACAAGCTGCTTACACAACATCTATTCCATGCTCAGTAAACCCAACAGGTTTCTGACCAGTGAATTCCTTACCTTAAGTATATAAACTAATATTGTTGGAATCCTGAAAAGGTCACACCTAAATGTATTGGTTGGTCTTAAATATACCACTGTACATCCATGTATATTTTATTTCTTGGAAAGCAGTTTCTTCTTCTTGTGTATTTCGAGTTATTATGCCATCTGTTAACTATTACAACTCTTACTTCTCCCCCTCTTGTTGCTGTCCAGAAATAATATATGTTAAAGTAAAGTAACAAATGAACTAACAACATTTGTAGACATATTTTACAAGACTAAATTATCTGTTAAAATAAAATTCAATTTCATTTTCTGGATTTGTAGAATGACTTTGAATTGCCTACAAGCTTTGTTTTTAGGTAATCCAAAGTGAGTGCCCTGCCTGTTCCAGTTTTCGGACAATCATTTTTAAGCATACACTTTAAAAGGACACACACAAAATACATATGCAGTAGAATGTGTGGAAGGATGTGGTAAAAGGTTCACACCCCCAGTAGTGGATGATTTCACCAAGAAATAAGACAGAAAAAACTACAGATAAACTCAGGTTGGTTGATGAGTTTCCAGTTTAGAAAAGCAGCCCCCTCATTTGTCTGCTGTACCATCTCAATCCACACAGTAAGATGTTGTTTAGTCGATAAGTTTTGTCTGACTCTTCGTGACCCCATGGCCCAGAACATGCCAGACCCCCCTGTCTTCTTCTGCCTCCCGGAGTTGGGTCATATTCATGTTGATAGCTCCGCTGACACTGTCCAACCATCTCGTCCTCTTGTCATCCCCTTCTCCTCTTGCCCTCACACTTTGTCAACATCAGGGTCTTTCCCAGGGAGTCTTATCTTCTCATGAGATGGCCAAAGTATTGGAGCCTCAGCTTCAGGATCTGTCCTTCCAGTGAGCACTCAGGGTTGAATTCCTTCAAAATGGATAGGTTTGTTCTCTTTGCATTCCAGGGGACTCTCAGGAGTCTCTTCCAGCACCACAATTCAAAAGCATCAATTCTTCAGCGGTCAGCCTTCTTTATGGTCCACAGTAAGAAACTCTTTTTAATGTATATAAACGGGAAATTTTTCTAATTACCATACTGTAGGTGGCAGAGATAATGTAATTCATGTAAGCTTGACTGTTTACCTGTCAGAAATCAAGAATCTAAGTTATTTTTTAAATAAATGCAACCTTAAAAGCCAGTTTGCGGTACATTTTTGAAACACTCATCCACAACATGCTAGAATATAGCAGCCATATCTTTATATATTCTGAAGAATGTAGTATTTTAGATGTAACTTAAGGCTACTTGATAGAGATGTAACTCTACCTGTTAACAAATGTGTGGGCAGAGTTTTCACATTGCTTCCTTTCAGCCTGGTTCACTAGCATTCACTAAAATGGCACAATCCCAGTTTAAAATAGTATTGTTGATGAAACAAGTGGGGTTTCTTGATCATTTTTCTGTGTGAGATATTCCACAGATATTAGCAACTTCTTTGAAATCTTTTTTGCTATCAGAAAAGGATACAGTGGGGTCTTGACTTGAGAACTTAATCCGTATTGGAAGGCGGTTCTCAAGTCAAAAAGTTTGCAGGTCAAATCTGCAATTCCCATAGGAATGCATTGAAAACCATTTGATCCGTATCTGCTCTTTGCCGTCCATAGAAACTAATGGGAAGCTGCTATTCCGCCTTCGACCACTAGAGGGGGATATTTTGTTTCTCTTTTTTTCTTAGGTCAAGAAAGATTCAGGGAAGGCAGGGAAAATACAGTCCAGGCAGTACCAGGCAGTCTGAAGACTGTCTCCCAATCCTCTCTCTAAACGCTGGGAGGAGTGACGAAGCAGACAGGCACCCTTTTCACTGGCCAACAGTTAACTGAAAGTTCATATTTTGCACTTTCCCTGCCTCCCACGTGGTTTTTTCAGTTCGTAACTCAAATCTAAGTACGTAAGTCAAGTCAGTATTTTCCTATGAGAGTGGTTCTTAAGTCAAAATGTTCGTAACTCAGGCCATTCATAAGTCAAGACCCCACTGTAATTTCATAAATATCAGCTCTCACCCAACTGTTGATGAAATACTGTATCTTATTTATAGTAAAGAGTAAAGAAATTCCCCATGCTGGAATTTAATGCCTGCTGTCCTGAAAATTGAACTAATCACAGGTGTTTTCCAAACATTACTTCTTTTAAAGTGTTGTTCCATTTCATTTGTTTCTTGAACATTACATTTTAAAACTAGACTAAAATGGTCCTATTATTTCTGTATTCTTGCATGACAGCTCAGAGCCTTCTGAAAGTGATGATGATGATGAACCACCAAAATTACATAGAAATGGCCCGGCCCACCTTTCAAATGCCACAAAGGAGGAGGAGGAAGATGAGGATCTGAACTACTGCAAACTTCAAACACTAAAGGAACTCTTTCCACAAAAGAGTGACCAAGACTTATTACAAGTACAGTAATATATAATTTGGGGTAGCTAACCATTTTTTAAAAAATATAAAGAGCTCTTGTATATTTGAAGACAAATCATATTCATAGAAATCCTGTAATGGGTGTGGAGATTGGTTTGTTCACAACATTAATGAACAACCTTATTGTCGCACAACTTGACATGCAACAGATAATGCCTACAGAGATTTCTTAACTTATGGTAATTTGCTTCCAAAAGTTAAACTTTTTGAGTAGTAGTGCAACAGGATTTTAGCAGTGTTTTTAAGGTTTGCTAAGATGATGTGCAGAAAGTACCCTGGAATTCAGAGGAACATAAAAATAATAAGTATTGTCATCGTAATTCTCAAAGCATGAGACTGTGAGTTGTATTTATTATAGTTCCCAAAATAGATGGATGAATAAGATTTTCAGTAGTCAGGGGGCAAGGTACAATGTATTCTCCTCTCCTTAACTAGGAGAAGTAGGGTGAAGTAAGCAAATGAAAATTGTTATGGAATAGTCATGCATAATACGTACATGTAACAAGATATAGTGCCTTTTTAAGTCAGAAGTTGGACATTGTGGAACTCGAGAACTTACAGTGAGATCTCACTGTTAATTCTTCAGAATGCAGTTAAATTGAGGCTAACTTTTTTTTTAAAAAAAAAAATGTTGTTTCTGTCTTCTTTATAGCTGATAGAATCAACTGCTACAATGGATGAAGCTATTGCTGCTGGCCTGAAGCGAAATGAGGAAGGTATATAGTCATTTTTTGTTAAATATTTTTTTTGTTAGGCTAAGGCATTTTGTTTTTAACTAGGGCCCCAAGGCTTGGAAACATTTATTTCTGTATATTACATTTCTTAGAGTTTGCCTGCTAATGACTGAAAGTCTGTTGCTTAGCGTAGTAAGCCACAGCTACAGTAGACATATTGAATCAGTAGTACTTACAGAGGAATTGACTTACTACGTCCCCACTGATTCATTGGGCCTACTCTAGTTCTGACTTAGTACACTAAGCAACAGGATTTCAGCTAAAGTTTTCACTGGCCATTTTAGCTAGTGGGATTCTGAGTACTGACTAGAAAAAGTAAGTTTTTCAAGCTTTGAATTTCAATAAAGTTCTCAGCTAAACAATATATTAGTAAAATGAAACACTAAATAGATCTGAGTTTTTACCATACTTATAGACTACTACAAGGAATAAAAGAACAGCTTCCTCTTCTGAGGACTTACAGTGGTAGAGGCAACAAAAGAGTGGGAGAGAAATGAGTTCTGCCCTATAATGTCTTTATAAAACAGAATCCTCTCTTTGTCTGGTTATGGTGGGGAAATTCTAGCACTGGATTCTTTGCTTCCGTATTGCACTGAATGCCAGTGTAATAGAAAGCAGACCAACAAAATTGCTTCCATCCTTTCTCTGTTGCCTTTCTGGGCTATTTTCTTTCAGTGTCCTTTTAAATATAAGATATATATAACGGTCTCTTATATAGAATAAAAAATATTGGTATCAAACTGCAGTAATTATGTTGTCAGTTTTTGTGTTGATTCCATATGGTTGATGTGGTGCCTCTGTGAGTTCTTTGAATCTTATTCTGTATTGCAAGTGTTATGTTGCAGGTTCCTTTTCAGCTTCCCACCATAAGGTCTGTTTGGCAGTTGTATTTCCATTATTTTCTCCAGTTTATTTGTATTTATTTTATTATTGTTTACATGTTAGTAGCAATGTTTATTTAGTTTCATTTTGTCTACTGTATTTACTCTAAATTGCGAAGCTCATTTTGAATGCTAGGAGTGGCAAATAAGCTCATACTAAAATACAGTGATCCTCTATATAGTAATATATTCTTCTAAATTAAAGGTACTGATTACACAGTCCTATGCATGTTAACTCAGAAATAATTCCTATTTTGTTTGGAGAGACTTTATCCTGGAAAAGTATACGTAACACTGCAGTCCCTTAGATTACTCACAAGAGACTATTCATGACTTAAATTGTGAAAATGTTGTTGTGTCTCTTCTTTTACATCTTGGCCTTCTTTAGTCTAGTTTTTATTTTTCTAAATGTGAAATTTCAGTGATTGGTTATTTTTCAAATAAGTATTTTCTCTTTAACAGCGAACTTTTGTGGCAGCTTGCAAACATTATAATGAGTGTTCCTATGTATAGAAATTAAACATGAATTAACTTGCCTGTTCATAATACCATGGTGCCTCTAAGCCTTGGCATGTTTTAAGAAGACAAGAAATTGTTGAGCTGCTGTTTGCTTTCTTTTTCTGAAAGACTGTAGTTGATTGGGTCACTTTAAAAGAGCTGACAAAATTACCTGTTTTTGACTGCTTAATTGATGAGAAGTGTTAAATCAAATTTCCCATTATTTAATACTGTGAGTAAATACTGTTATATTTATAGCTTGAATTGGGTTGTTTTATAGTAGCTACAAGTATTGTTTGCACTCCTTTAGGTCATAGTGGATTCTCATATGAAGCATTGCTTACTGACTTCTATAATTATATTACAAAATACAGTTCTTACTTGAAAATTAGCCTGTGACCAAGTTCCAGCAAAGTTACTATATTCACATATTCAGAGGTTGTACTCATAAAGTTTTTCTTAGAAGTTATGGCAGCGCACCGTGATGAATCCCTTGAGCTTCGAAAGTGACCTGTCATTATATGCAGAGATGTGGGGGAGGGTCTAGTTTGCCACAACAACTTCTAGTATAGAGAGTGAACAGATAAAATAAAGGATACACAATAAAATTGTGCAATCATCTGAACTGTGATATGTAGTTGTTGTTTTAATAGCCTTTAAGAAAATGCAGTGTCCTTAACTATTTAGACAACAGTGGATGGGACACACTGGATTCTATATGTTAAGTTTGCAGCCTCATCCCACTGAATCTGTTATGTAGCATTCTAGAGCAAGGAATTATTTTGAATATTTAAGAAATGTTGTAAGAATTTGGAAGGAATGACAAAAATGGAAGGAATATCAAAACAACAACAATACTATTTTTATTAATTTGCATTGGGTAGAAGGTCCTGCATTGAGCCAGGGGTGTGGACTTGATGGCCTTGTAGGTCACTCCCAAATCCATTATTCTGTGATCCCTATCCTCTCTTGTCCATTATTTTATGATGCTGACGAACTGACTGAATTTAAGTTCTTGAAAGATTGTAACTTATATTGTTAAATTATTTGTTAAAGCAAATACCATTCTAGCCTCCTAAACGCAGCAGTGAAAGCACAGATGACTAAATAGTTAGCACCATTTGACTAACCTCAGAACATAATCAACAGGAACTGATTTGTAACTGTACAAATTACTAATTGAGTGTCAATTCAGATAACCTGAAGCTTGAACCTCCCTAGGAGTCCTATAGATTACTTTACAGACCGCCAGGGAAAAAAATCAGAAGTCTGTGTTCTTTAAAGCTGACATGTAAAGGGTTAAATCCAGTGTGATCCAGAGGAATATTCTGCACCTTGTATAATCTTCCCTTCTTCTGAATATCCTCAGAATTTTTTGTTCCATGCAAGTAAACTGAATATTCACAAAAATATAATTTCTACTTTTCTTCCTTTTATTGAATAGTCATGTCCAAGCAGATATAAATGTGTATATGGTTGTATATCTATAAATTAACTATAAAAAGTAACACAGAACTGTAAAAATAAGAATATAAAAATTTAATGAACTACATAAAAATATAACAACTCTAACTAAACACAAAATGCTCCAACAAAATTAATGTGGTGCTTCAAAATAAAATCATAATGTTGTAGGTAAAATATTATAATTTATATAAAATACCTAAACATAAAAGCATTATAAAGACATATTCTCTAAAGTTAAAAATATTTAACTCACAGTTAAGTTACATCTGTGAAAAATATCTTAGACATATATAAGGAAAAAATGATATTAGAGCAATAAGCAATTATAAAATCACATAGGCGTATCTTAAAAACAATTTTCAAAAATCCTGCAGAATTTTCTCCCCTCTCATGGTATTTTCCTGACTTTTTTTTTGCTTTTTGCTTTGACTAGATTCTCTGGCAGTTATTTGTACCCTTACCATTAGTTTATCCATTAAATCAATCTTATCTGCAAGGCTTGGAAATCTAAGAGCTTAGAAATCCAGGGGGGAAATCTCAGTTGTTCCAGTAGAGCTTTTAACTTCAGAAATTTGTTATTTCATATCTGGCAAGTTGCCTTGTTACTGATAATATGCATGATTTGACTAGATATTTTGCAAAAGCTGAAATTTCAGGGGTCCGTTTTATCAACAATTTGAAACCTTAAATTCTTAGAAGACCCAAATATTGTATTATAAATGCAGTGGAACTACAAAGAGTGTCAGCTATCAGCTGTCTAAGTTGTAAAAAAAACCCCATTCAGCTATCAGACCTTGCTCAGCTTGAGATTTTGCCAATTGTATTTACTGCCTTTAGCAAGCCACATTTTAAAATGTACTTTTATTTTTAGGACAGTTTTTCTATGTCCTCATTAATTATTTCAATATACAATTTTAAATCGTGACATGAGTGCCATTGTGGTTGTAAATTAGGTTCCAGATCATCTGGGAAAGCGATCTGGGGAAATCCATATCACATGAAAATTGGCATGCTATTTGCAACAAGACTGAATTCAGTTTAATTTCATCCAACTTTAAGGAGTAGAGATAGGCATGAAACACCAATTTGGTGGCTTGCCCAACAGGTGTTCAGCAGTTTCCAGCGCTGCCTCTGCCAGCTGGTGCCATTCAGAGGCAGGGCCTGGAGGAGGTAGGGCAGAGAAGCCAGGGTGCTGCTTCTGAGTGGGTGCCTGCCGGCGGACGTGCAGCCAGAAACCACCAAACACCTCTTGAGTCAGTATACGAACTAACACAAACTTCTGAATTGATGGTTTGTATCCATCTCTGGTTTTAATGGAAAAATGAACTCATCAGATTAAATCACTTAAACAACCATCCACTCAAATTGATTTTTTTTCAACATATGATTTCCTTTGGTTGATTATGTTAATAGCAGTAGTGGAACTTATTTCTCAACTGACTCTCATAACAGTATTCAGTACATTATAATCTACGATATTGAATGGGTTTGTGTGAATGTATGTTTTTGCTCTTATTACTTTATATTTGGTACAGTGGTTACCTAGAGACAGGTATGGCTTATAAGAGTTCAGTGAAAGACCTGTACTAGTGTTGTTGGTTTTTTAAATTTTGTTTGTTTTGTTTTGTTTTTGTTTTTTGGTTGTATTCTCTATTTATTATTCAGGTAAAACTAGTTTGTTTAATTGCAGAAAGGACCAAAGAAGCCTGAAGTGATACGTTAGAGTACAAGTATTTTCTTTCTCTTTAAAAAAAACACACTAATTTGTTTTAGAAGCTGGATCCCGAAAGAGGAAGCTTGAAGAAGGTTCTGCGGACAGTCCTGAAGAAAATGATGACCAAAGTCCAAAAAAGAAAAAGCTTGATCCTGTAAGTAGCTGGTCATATTCTCTTTACATACCAGGACATAATAATCTGTAAGGACTTTCTGTTTTCATGTCTTAAACTAATTGTTGATGAGATGGTTGCTACAAAAATCTGTTGTTGGTAGTTATCATAAGTATGTTCAACATTTCCTCTAATTTTCATACCCGTTGCACAGGAGCCTTGCCTTGTGCACGTGGGGGGTGGGGTGGGCCTTTATCCAAAACAGGAAGTAAACAAAGCAGGTGCTGGCTGCCCACACATAGCTGCAGTGGAGCTCTGTGCATACGCGTACCTTAGGTCCCCAACCTTTTGGACACCAGGGACTGGTTTAGTTGAAGACCACTCTCCCAAAGGCTGGAGGGGGTGTACTTGTTATGCAGTAAGTTGTTGGAGGATAGCTTTGAATCAGGCTCATTACGTGTATTGATGAGCAGCGAGCAGGAGCAAGAGCTTAGGTGCAATTGAAGCTCTGCCTCCTGTTAGATCAGCAGCAGCGTAGAACCTAATAGGAACGTGGGCTCTTATTAGATTCTAATGCCACAGGCACAGCTGATCTAACAGCAGCAGGAAGGGAGCGGGAAGCAAAGCTCAACCTCCTGTCAGATCAGCAGCGGCATTAGAACCTAATAGGAACGTGGGCTCTTATTAGATTCTAATGCCACAGGCACAGCTGATCTAACAGCACCAGGAAGGGAGCGGGAAGCAAAGGTCAACCTCCTGTCAGATGAGCAGCGGCATTAGAACCTAATAGGAGCGCACTGACAGGAGGCAGACAGGAGGCAGAGCTTCGCTTGCAACTCAACTCCTGCTCACCGGTCACCTGTCCCAGCAGTCCAGTCCTTCCAAGGCCATGCACTCGTACCAGTCCACGGCTCAGGGGTTGGGGACCCCTGTCTCAGAGGGAATGTTGAGTATATGCCTTTTGTGCATTTAGTGTTCTGTGTTAGTAGCCAGACCTCCAAGTCATTTCATTGAAAAACATTACATATAGTTGAGCAAGTGATTGCTCTCTTGAGCCTTTTTTCTTGTGGTCTTTTCCAAACTTCAGGTATGCTGAGAAAAGTGCTGATGACATGAAGATCTGAAATGCTTGTTGCTTCTGTTGGAGGAAGAGACTGTGTGCATCATAACCCATAGATATTAAGCAGTAGCTGCCATGTTGTTATTATGGTTGTTTTTGTACAAAGAGCATGTAAAGATGAGACGTAGAATTGCAGTTTTCTATTTAGTGAAATGAGCCTGAGCAGTAAAATAAATTAATATTTTTCTGAAACATAGTTGCAGAGTCCTGAAAACCAGTGGGAAAAGCGTGAACATTTGGTTAGCAAGCTACATAAAGAATTTCCCAGTTTGGATAAAGAGGTATGTTGCATTTGGCACAAAATGTATGTTTTGAATAACTCATATGCAGAAAAAAATCATAAATCCATATTCCAGCTACTAGCATTAGCTTCAAAGGAACCTAAATTATTCCATTCACTTTGATCCTCTGGAACATGGCAGTGTATCTTTTCCCTCCTGCCTGGCAGCTGTAAGTATAGGAATTTGGGTAGTAAGTCACAATTAGAATAGGCCCATTGAATCAGTAGCAATTTGGTGAGTCAGCAGCTATCAAAGTTCCATTGATTCAATGGGCCTGCTCTGGTTGTGACTTATTACAGAATTTTAGTGATTATGATGTACCGTATTTTTTTGCTCCATAAGACGCAGTTTTCCCTTCAAAAAAAGTGAGATGAAAAGTTGTGCGTCTTATGAAGAAAATACATTGCGTTTGATTCTCTCTAGTGAGAGAGAGGAGAGGGACGGAGAGGGGGAGGGAGAGGGGGAGGGAGGGAGAGGGAGAGGGAGGGAGGGAGAGAGAGGGAGGGAGAGGGGGGAAGAGAGAGGAGAGCTCCACGGAGGAAGGGAGAAGACTCGTCCAAGTACCGTAAATCACATAATACAGAGGAATTCCTGGCTGGATTGCTGACTGGTGACATTAAGGGGCACATGAGGCATTGGTGGTGAAAAGTAGGATTTGTTTCAGTTGCTCACTGAGTGAAAGGCTTTTAGTTCTTTTGAGATTTGTCATACTATTCAGAGCAACCCACTCTAATGGTATCTTAAACCTGAATTTTTGATACTTTACACTGATGTATTGTTCCTTGGGGTGTCTACTTCACTCCCCTAATGGTGAACATAATTCAAAATGTATTATATAAAGTAGTAGACCTCCTCACGTGGGACTACTTTGCTTATAGAGATACCATACAACTTTATTACACTATTTGGTTCAGATTTTTTTTCCTGTTTTCCTCCTCTAAAAATTAGCTGCGTCTTATGCTGAGGTGCGTCTTATGGAGCGCAAAATACGGTAATCAAAACATGAATTTTGGCTTTTCCACTGGGCCTAAATTTGTAATCCCAGGGACACTTAGTCCGTGGAATTTAGTGACCCTTTTTTGTGGTAAGTACACATATGAATGTACTCCTCCAGGGTCTAGACATCTTTTTATGTTTTACATAGTTCTCAGTCTAGTTTGTGTAATTAAAATGTAAATAAATGACACTCCTCAGACTTATATCAGAATATTACCATGTGCACTGTATTTTTCAGGATTCTAGTGAGCCATGGCCCTTTCCAGGACATTTACTACATTTCATTCTTCCTTGATTGAGTTCTTCCTCAAGTTCTAGGTTTTCTTCTTTTCAGTAGAAAAGGGGCCCGAGATAGTCTTGCCTAGTTATACTGGCATAACTCAAAAACATAACTTCGGAAGGAGAATTGCCTTAAGTTCAGAAATTACTGTAGAGTGTAGACACTATTGATTGTGTTCTCAGTTTTGTACAACTTGAAAAATCTACAATAATTTCTTAACTTGGGCCATTTTGCCTCCAAAAATTACGACATTTTCATAGCTGTGCAGTACCAGGGATGATTTCAGCCATGGTGTTTTCGTTGGATTTTTTCTCTCCCTTTAACCAGAATTCAGAATTCTGCAAGAGTATTCGCCATCAGGTTTTCTTTTTCTGTATTTCTACAAATCTATGCTTTAAAATATGCTGCATTGAATGCTATTGTTTTGATTGCATAAGGATCTGCAATTGGAGAAGGGATTTACTGTTAATATATGCACTGTCTAGAGAAGCCTAGCAAGATTCAGCGAACAGACAGCCAGCATAAAAAGAATAGAACATTATTACCAGCTTCTAAACATACTTGCTGAAATCCTTTTGCACATTTTTGCAAAAGGCGTAGTTTTAGAGACAAATTGCCTCAAGTGAAGAAATCTCTGTAGGCATTACAGTGGTGCCTCGATGTATGAACTTAATCTGTTGCAAAAGATGGTCACAACTCAAATGGTTGTAAGTTGAAGCACCATTTTCCATAAGAATGCATTGAAACGCAATTAATGTGTTCCGGCCGGAAAAAGAATCACAACAACAACAACAAAAACCACTGCAAGACCCATCAGAAATGCGATTAATCTGTTCCTGATGAAGGAAAAAAATCTCAAAAAGCAAACAAACCCTGAAAGACCCATCAGAAATGCAAAAGGAAAAAGAAAAAAAAGGAAAGAAAACCAAAAAGCAAACTCTGCAAGACCCATTAGAAATAAAAAAAACCCCACCCCAAAAGCAAAGAAACCCTGCAAAACCCATCGGAAATGCAAAACCCACCCCAAAAGCAAACAAACCCTGCAAAACCCATCGGAAATGCAAAAAAAACACCCCAAAAAACAAAGGCTGCAAGACCCATCACAGCACAGAAACATAAATCCCCAGCCCAAAACCACACTGCAAAACCCACCCAGAAGAACAGGCAGTTTTTAAAAAGTAGAAAGCAGCACCTTACCAGGCAGTCTGAAGCCTCCTCCGAATGCACACTCGGAGCGAAAGAGCTACAAAGAAGCAGCCTCTTCACCATCAATGGTTAGCAGTTTGAATTCCCCGCCTTTTTCCTTGCCTTTTTTTCTTATCGTAACTCGAAGCTCCACTTGCAAGTTGAAGCAATATTTTGTGGCCAGAGCTGGTCCTAACTCGAATTGGTCATAAGTCGGGACATTTGTAAGTCGAGGCACCACTGTATCTGTTGCATACTGAGTCACTTGCCTTGGCATGCACAGATAATGTCTGTGGAAATATCTTAACCAGTTGCACAACAGGCTTTTAGCAAGTTATTGTGTAACATTTTGAACTTCAATACTTTGCTGCTTTTTTTTTCTTTCAGTCTACAGTACACTAAAAAATTGAAAAAAAAACACCATAAAAAGACAATGGGATGTTGCTTATTTTCATTGTAGGTATAAATGTGAACGTTCATAGTGTTTAAATATGCATGGATTAAAAAGATTGTGTAGTTGTGATATTATGTTACTTTTTATAGGTTATTATTGTTGTGACTATACAGTATTCCTTATAATACTTTTCATGAATAGGAACTGAGAGATGTACTTCGGGAACACAACTGGATATATCAAGAAGCTCTGGAATCTTTGAAAGTGTTCATGGAAGATCAAGAGGGTAATAATTACTTCTGTTTCATTAATACAGATTAGATCTATCTACAGTGTCTGTCTGTCTGTCTGTCTACCTGTCTACCTACCTAACCTACCTACCTACCTACCTACCTACCTACCTACCTACCTACCTACCTACCTACCTACCTACCTACCTACCTACCTACCTACCTACCTACCTACCTACCTACCTACCTACCTACCTACCTACCTACCTACCTACCTACCTACCTACCTACCTACCTACCTACCTACCTACCTACCTACCTACCTACCTACCTACCTACCTACCTACCTACCTACCTACCTACCTACCTACCTACCTACCTACCTACCTACCTACCTACCTACCTACCTACCTACCTACCTACCTACCTACCTACCTACCTACCTACCTACCTACCTACCTACCTACCTACCTACCTACCTACCTACCTACCTACCTACCTACCTACCTACCTACCTACCTACCTACCTACCTACCTACCTACCTACCTACCTACCTACCTACCTACCTACCTACCTACCTACCTACCTACCTACCTACCTACCTACCTACCTACCTACCTACCTACCTACCTACCTACCTACCTACCTACCTACCTACCTACCTACCTACCTACCTACCTACCTACCTACCTACCTACCTACCTACCTACCTACCTACCTACCTACCTACCTACCTACCTACCTACCTACCTACCTACCTACCTACCTACCTACCTACCTACCTACCTACCTACCTACCTACCTACCTACCTACCTACCTACCTACCTACCTACCTACCTACCTACCTACCTACCTACCTACCTACCTACCTACCTACCTACCTACCTACCTACCTACCTACCTACCTACCTACCTACCTACCTACCTACCTACCTACCTACCTACCTACCTACCTACCTATCTATCTATCTATCTATCTATCTATCTATCTATCTATCTATCTATCTATCTATCTATCTATCTATCTATCTATCTATCTATCAACAGAGAGAGAGACACTAATAGAAGAAGTACAAATCTTTTTTAAAACTCCCTTAGTATGTTTTATCTTTCACAGGGAGTTGAATAGCTTGTTGTAGTAATGTGGTTTTCAATTGTGGGAAGATAAGTATAATGGTTTTCAATGCAGAAATCTACCTTTTACCATCAAAGATTTTGTAGAAGAAGAAAAGTTGAGGACCTGTTATTCACTGAGAATTTTTGACCTTTGAAAGGATTTCACAAAGGACTTCTGAGTAGGGCTGAAATAAGGGTGAGGCTGAATGTGCAGAGAGAGCACCCAGAAAGTCTCATTAACTTTACATTGCTTCTGCAGAGTCCTGATATATATATAAAAAAAGAATATTCCTTCTCTTTATTCAATTATTCAGAAGTGTATAAGAATTGTGTATAAGAATGAGGTAGAAGCATAGTTAGCTAGCTGAGCGGATCCAGGGGCTGGGAACCAATTCACCAGTGTGCCTATGAGAAGAGTCACCTTGTGCAGCCTTGGGCAAGCTATATGATCCCAGAGCATCCCAGAACAAAAGAAGGGTAGACTGATGCTGGGTACTTTGTAGCTAGAAAACCCTGAAAAAGGTCAGCTTGAAAGCATGAAATTATTATTTTAGAAATGTAGGTGTCCTACATGCAGCTTGAAAGCATGAAATTATTTTAGAAATGTAGGTGTCCTACATGTTCTGACGAGCTACTTTTCTTCATTAATGCCCGTTCATCACTACTATTGGTCTTTGATTCTTTTAGATCCTAAGCTGTGTGGGCAGGCACCTGTGTGTTTCATTCTAACCACAGACTGAAGTGCTTGACACAGTGCTGCTAAGATGGATCCATATATTTTCACACCTGCCCTTTTTTGACTCTTACGAAATACTAATTCTTGTATTCAAAGATAATGCTTTTTAAATTTTCGGTTAAAACTTCTCTGCTAGACAGCTGGCACGTACTGCCTCATGTCTGCTGCCACCAAAGCTGCTTCATAGCTCTTTGGATCCACCAGCATATTGTTTGCTTTGTCCTTTTTCAATCTTAAAAGAAAACATTGTTAGGGGAAAAAAAACAACAGCGTGAAAATGACTACATCTTTGTGTTTTAACTGTTAGTATACTAGTCAGATGAGTCTTTGGGCTTTCAGAGTTAATGCATTTATGCAGCTTTTCTGTCTTTCCCTCCTCTGTAGTCCCTGTGCCTCCTGAAAATCTGCTTATGGGGTTTGAGGCACCCTCAAAAGAGCATGGTATGTGATGTGGGCAACTAAAGCAGGGTGGGACTTTGTGTGAACGGAAGTACAGTACTTTCTGCCTGAATGGCAAAACTTTAGGACAAGTCCATGTGCTGTTTCTAAACAAGTGTGGTCTTATTTCTGCTCTCAGGTTGATGTCCAAAGGGGCTAATTCTATGAGCCAGGCTGCTTCAGGAATCTTAGCTGTATCATAAGAAGTCAGTCAGTAGTAATGTGGAAAAATATCTTTCTGATTTCTGAAAAAAATGACTGTTTAGATGGGGTTCTAATCAAATAGCCAATTCTGAATAGCAACTTATGATACAGTTAAGATTCCTGAAGCAGCCTTTTCTTTTCATTTCTCTATGTTATACCATTAATCTCTGGACATACAGCCTAGACACTCATCCATTCAGCTTTTCATTTTGATATCATACACTGTTTATCATGCTTTGTCTGTGCTAGTAATGGGCAGCAGTATACCCATATGAATAAGCATGTTGAGAGGGCCCAAAACCTTTTGGCTGTCTCAAAGATAAAAATGGAAAGAGCTAGTATCATATTTTAGGACAAGAAACTTGCAAGTGCACTGCCCCCTTCACATAATGACAATAAGGAGCAGGGATGTGTGTTCTAACTGTTGCTCTTAAAGAAATTGTACTGCTAAAATATCTTTAAATATGGATATAATTTTGGTGCATTTAAACAATGAAGTCAGGACTGGTTTTCTAAATGGCAAATGGAATTTTTTGCTTTCCTCTTTCGTAGCGCACTTACATATGTCAGCAAGTCTTCTCAGTTTTCAAACCAGTTTGCTGTGTATAAGAGACATGCTGTTTGAGAAACACACGTTAAGCATCCTTGAGCTCACCATTCTTTCATCCTGTCCCTGATACACAGTGAACTTCATTATGTATTGCTTCATCTATAAACATGCTGGCTCCTTTAATTTTTATTTTAAGTGTTAAGTGAATTAATTTAATGGATACAAATGCTGTAGTGGACATTTTGTAAATATAGGACATTAACATCCTTGATACATCCATTCTGTTTGCCTCTGTAAAGATTCAAATATGCGTTCACATTGTATATGTTCGGTGTATTTATTAAATTGGTATTCCAAAAGGGTTTAAAATGCAAAGTTTATTTATTATGGTGGAACTTGTTTCACAGCAGTGTCTCGTTTCAAAACTCAGTGTTGTGATTGACCCTGTAAAAATGTATATTGCTGCTGAGAAATATAAATAAGAGTGGTAGTTATCCTACTGCTAGAAAGAGAACAGAAAAGATAACTGGGTATGAAACGTATGCACGAACTTCCTGAAATATTTCACATGTACAAAATATCTAACATAATCAAAATATGGTTGACTCCCCTTATCAGGGGAAAGGCAGCGTACAAATGACACTAAATAATGAGTAAATATGATTACATAAAAGTTCATAAAGTGCTTTGATTCCTAGCCCAGGAGTCTGTTTAACTGTTAGTGCATAGTGTTGAGTGGCAGATTTATATTTGAAAACACAAAATAAATGTTTATGTATAAAACAGGCAATAAATGTCCTGGTGATGAAACATTATATTTAAGAAAAATGTAACGTTAAAGAAACAAAACAGCCTAATGCTGTGATTTAATCAAGTGAGAGTTATGTAGCACTTGGAAAACAAATAGTTATTCCTAGGTTTAGAATTTATACTCATCGATTATGTATTATTACAAGTAATACATAAATTTTTAGATACACTTGCATAGTATTCAGCTGGGATTGTCTTAAGTATCAAAGAACTAAGATGTGATTGTGGGAAAGCTACCAGATAGTGGGTAAAATATATTCATGTGAGGTCATGGCACTATGTTCCAGAATTTAGACATTGGTATAATGTAGTTCCCTACCTAATCTTCACTGGCTGCTGGTAAGTTCTCTTCCTTTTTTGTTTATGTTGAATATACAGATGCACAATATCCTTCCAAAAGTGAAGTTTCAAATGGAAAAGAGGTCTCCTTTAATAATACCTATTATCACCAGAATGACACTAATGTAAAGCTCAAAGAGAAATCTTCCACAAAATCTCAGAATGGCTTCAGGAGAAAAGATAAAAAGAAAAAAATTTGGAGCACTAAAAAAGACTCCCAAGATATGGACTATGAGTCTGCATCAGAAGCTGGAAGCTCCCTTGATGAGGACTATAGCAGTGGTGATGAAGTGATGGAAGATGGTTACAAAGCTAAAATACTTCGCTTTCTACAAGATGCTTCACTTAGTGAACTCACTTTGATTCCACAGTGTTCTCAGAAAAAGGCTCAGAGAATAATAGAACTCCGTCCCTTTAATTGTTGGGAAACTCTGGTAAGTATGCATTCCCTTTTATTTTAAATATCCACAGTATGTAATTCAGTCAAGCATTTCTTAGATCCAAAAAGGCAGTGAAGGGTGGCCTTTTCCTGTTTAGGCTAATACACTATGCTCAGTCTAAGCCAATAGCATTTCAAATAGTGTCAGATGACCTAATTTTGAATGAATTAAGGGGTGATTTTTCTGAAAAACACAATCTGATTGGCTGGCAAAAACTGTCAGTCACTCTTGCACACTGAAACTTGGTTCATTTCACTGCAGAAGAAGAATTTAGAGCTTTCATCTGGGAAGCTGTTCTTTGCTAGCCTGTTCTGATCTGCTGAAGCTGAAAAACCATGCAGAAAGCAAGAAGGTAGCAAATTTTTTACTGCACCTACTTCAGAGAACCGACAGCCAACATCCTGGGTTGTTCCATTATTGAGGACACCAGGACGACTATTTTAAGTAACCCTGTTTTGAAGAAATGGTTCTTTTGATTATTACTTTGTTCTTGTTCCTCGATTAAACCTTAACACACACCTACTGTCTTTTTAACCTTGATTTTGTTAAACTAAGCAACGTGACCATTTTATGAAGTGGTATAAGTACTTGTATCATAAGATCCTAACATGGAAGTGGAAAGAAGAAAGTATAACTATTGGTGAGTACTTGGTATATTGTCTCAAATGTCAGTTTACTATTTTTCAGATATTTCCCATTATTGTGTGCTTCAAGGTTATGTGAACAGTCTGACTGTGAATGGAAATGCTAATTATTCAAAGGACAAATTGTGAAGTTCCAATATTTTTGACAGCGCAATTTCTGTTTGACTTGGTTTTATAAAAATAATTGAAAATGAGGCCTTTTTTCCAAGTAGCTGTTGTTCATAGTGTTTGTTCTTTGAAATTGCTTTTTCCAAACAAGGAATTAGGGATTCTCTAAGTAGAATTATTTGTGTCCATTCTTGTTGCTTTAATACTTTTTAAGTGTTTTTGAAGCATTTTTGGGTATAAGACTATATGCTAGGCATTTCATCATAACAATGTAAGATAGCTTGGTCAAGTTTCTGGACAGAAATCCATGTATATTTTAAAGCACATACGTGGAAAATGCAGAAGTACAGCTTTATAGTGAGGCTTCTCTGGAGACTGTTTTGCCTGAAGCCTTTGACTTTGAATGGAACATCTGTCCCTTTGAAACATGTCGGGCTTTGCCTGAACAGATTATTTTGAAAAGAAATTGCTAAAGGGCTGCTATTTTCTGAAATAGTTTTATAAAATTAAGTTGTGTGGGCCTGTTTGGATTCAAAATCCTTTTCATAAAAGGTGCGTTTGTCAGCACCCCAGAAATCTACAGCTGCTGTAGCTACATGCCTGCAACATTAATGAAGTGCAGTTTTTGAAAGTGTAAAAAGGGAGTAGCTTCTAACTGTAGTTAGGGCTTGTTTAGCAGTTCAGCTTTTTTGATATACATTAATAAGACAATCCTTTGCAGTATGCTTAAATTTATCCCTCATATTTGCATGAAGTTGCAAATAAAGAAGAAAAGGGTTCTATCTGCTTTTAATATATGTATGTGAGGAATATTTAGTGTTATTCTTCATATTTAGTCATGTATTCTTCATATTTAGTTACAGCTTAAAATACATATTTTATGTATTTATAAATTGCCCCCTACTCATTCTAATTAAAACAGAATTAAAACAATACACTGTAACATTAAAATGCAAGTTGAACCAGTCACCACAATATCACTAGAAGGCAACAATAAAAATACTAAAAGTACAACAGAACAATATGGTCTTCACATAAAATATAATAGAAAGCAAACCCTTCTCCCTCCAGGAAGATCATTCAAAGGAGAATCAAAAACTCCCTCTTATTTAAGAAATAGCATCCTTTAATGATAATAAATGGAGAAATATGCCGAAGCAGAATGAACATTAACAAATATATATATATATCCTTGCAGCTTTGCAGTTATGTGATTAAGCATTATGCTGTATGAAGTGCCCATCTATCCAACAATGAAGGCTGCTTGAACCATTTTCTGAAGAAATAAATTCTAAAGTTATTTATGGAAACTGTTCACGTAGTTTGATCTTTTTTTATTCTCCATAAAACAGCAATTATGTTAGTAGGAAGTATGCCTCATTAACTAACAGATACGTTGTTAAATGCACTGAATTGCCCCCAGATGTTCCCATTTACCAATGAAATGGATTCCTCTGAAAGAAGGATGCCCTTTCAGTGCAAGCATATGTGACATAATGATTATGTTCATAAATGCAATAAATATCTTTATAGAGGGATAAAATGGGCCTCACATTTTTCAAGGCATATTGATGATTATGGTGAAGTAGTGGGAAGTCTTGTTTGAAATAAAATCGTTATTTTTTCTTTCCTCCTCATGGACAGAAACATGAAGTTTGAAGCAGATTTGCCCTAAATACAAAATGTTACATTTTACTCTGTAAAAGTTCATTTTCTGCCAATTGTAAGATTTGTGTGGGAGAGACAACTTTCTGTAGGTTGCAAAGTGTATCTATTTCTCTTACAAACAACACTTCGTGCAGCAGTCATGGGGTGACATGAAATATGTATCTTTGATTCCCTTTGCTGGGAGAAAGGCAATATGGAAATATATTAAATAATACAGAATACCACAATTTGGAGATGCTGAGAGATTTTCTTTTTTTACAATAAGCAGTCGTCACTGATTAGGTCATATCCATAGTGCCCACCAACCTGAAACATTCCCTGGCGGATCTACAAGAAGGCCCTCTAAAATTGACCTCAAAATGCAGACAAAGGTGATCCTTCTGCTACTCTGGCTACAAACTATCTGGGCAGCTATTAAATGTGAGTCCCACTACAGATAACTCTAATTTTCTCTTGAATGCCTTACCACTGCCCAAGATAATTTGTTCTATTGCTCTACTGCTCTAAGAGTTAGGAAGATTGTTACCATACTTACCAAATGGAACAACTTCTACACTTAAAACTTCAACAGCAATGTGTAAATTGGATCTTATCAGGTCTTATTATTCATAGGGCTCTTATTGGATAACAGCTTAAAGTGCTTCTTGTTATAACTTGGAAACATTTGTTAACAGATTGACATGAAAACCAATTAAATAGTTTTTATAACAGATGGTTTCACATGATGTACATTAAAGATTATAAATGTTATTTTCATGCCATCCTGAGCTTTTGGCATTTAGCATAATTATTAGAGTGTTCAATCTCATATAAAAATGTACTTGTAATTTTAAAATAATTCAGCCTAAGCTGTTGATAGTTCAGGGTTCAAATTCAATAATATTTTGTGAATGTGTAAACTTATTTCTCGAAAGGTTTCACCAAAACTGCCAAATCAAAGCTTGAAAGTGTTTCAAATTCTGTATGCTTGAAAGTGATAAAACGTTCTTTTGCAAGTGCAATGCCCCTTAATAATAACTTACTTATATGAAATAATTAGTTTACACAAGGATTAAGTGGTCGTTCAACTAGATAGGCGGGGTATAAATGCAATAAATAAATAAATAAATAACGTAAATAAGATTAAATTGTGTAAGTTCCATTAAAGTAATAGCCCAGAAAATAATAATTAAGGCCAAATCAGACATGACTTATCTTTAGAACAGGAATTATTGAACTGCTTAGAGTTTGCTTTCTTTTAAGGATGAAGTAACAAAACATGTGCTGGTGAGGCAGCTAAGTGAGTTGGATACCTATTGGCAGGGCCAGAAGTTAGGAGTTTGTCCACTGTGCTTCCTGGGAAAAGAACCAACTTGGATACATGTAACCTAGGGTAAACTGCACAGTCCTAGAGCACATCCAGAAGAAGGGAGTAATGTGAGTACTCTGTAGAAAACCATGGAATGGATTGCCATAAGTTGGGTTCAAAGTGACAGCACATAATTATTATTATATCTATACATACTCCTCAGAAATTTTGCTTCCCTATGTCAGGGTTAGGGAACTGAGCAAACATATCATGGGATTTGTTTTTTCCTTTCCTTTCATCCAGAAATCATCTTAGGTCCTTATTCATTTTTAGTTCAGTAGCAACTCATGAATTGTGAGAATCACTTTTAGGACCAGTTTCACACTCTCATTAAGAGCAAGTCATCCTTTATATAAATCACGATAAATGTTGGTACTGACATAACATTTAATTATTAAATGAGGGGACGAAGTGTATAATCTCATAACCGAAACAGGTCCCTTAGCAGCAGCCAAGACATTAACAACATTACTGTTAACTGCAGCATTCATGGCCCTGCAAGATGACCTTTTGAGGGAGGCTGATAAGGGCAGAACACCCTTGTTGGGCCTTCTGGACCTATCAGTGGCCTTTGATACCATCAACCACGGTATCCTCCTGGGGAGGCTCTCTGGGTTGGGGATCAGAGACCTGCCCTTGGCCTGGCTCTGGTCCTTCCTAGAGGACTGTCCTCAGAGAGTACAGCTTGGGGGGGATGCTGTCCGTTCCTTGGACTCTCAATTGTGGAGTCCCACAGGGGTCGATAATCTCCCCAGTGCTATTTAATATCTATATGAAGCCGCTGGGAGAGGTCATCAGGAGTTTTGGAGCTTTGTATCACCAATATGTGGATGACACCCAGCTGTGTCTCTCCTTTCACCTTTCTGCAGAGGATACCTTCCCATCCCTTGAGAGCTGCCTGGACACCACGCTGGGGTGAATGAGGGATAATAGACTGAGGCTGAACCCAGACAAGATGGAAATCCTGAGGGGAGTGCCTCTAGTGTTTGCGGTTTGGGGCTTCCCTTTCTTTTTGGGGGGGCGCTCTTTCTGCAAAGGATAAGGTTCACAGCTTGGGCATACCCAGCACTATCAGTGCAATCTCTGTGGCCCACTCTGCCTATTTCCATCTAAGGTGAATTGACCAGTTGTGTCCCTACCTTGACAGTGGGTCCCTCACCACACTGGTTCATGCACTGGTAGTCTCGAGATTAGACTATTGCAATGCTCTCTACGTGCAGCTGCCC